TACATCGGTTCTCTTTAGAACCGATGTAGATTGCATTTTAAAATAATAAAAAAATATCATGCTTATTTTGTGCAAATTTTCCTTAATCTTTCCAATATATATAATTCTCAGCCAGGATTTTACAGCTACCACACAAGTATAACCAATCAAATAAACCAAATATACACAAGTATAAATACAATAAATAAGGAATTTCCAATATATTCTTCCTCTGAAAGCATGAAACTATATTGAAGATTTAACCATTTAGATGTTTGATAATATGTAATGATATATGTGAGAAAACCCATGTGCATCAAAAGTGGACAATACTGACACGAAAAATTCTAATTGCTCCGATCTAGCACTCATTCTTTTGTTTTTCTCATGAATTTAGATCACTTACACCTCTGTTTTGTCTCTGTTTTTATGTTTCAAAATTTGTATTAGGTTTCAGCCACAACAAGACTCAAGGAAAAACCTAATAGGAAAAGTGTTTATGAATTTTTTTTTGACAAAACTTTTAACAAGACATAATAGAAACCTAACTCTAGGAAATGTGCTAGAACTAATAGAAAATTAAGAACTCAAACATGTAAAGAAAAAGCACATATTGTAAGGTACAGATTCAATAAGCAAAGACACAAAAATTTTTGGACATCACAACACAAAACAAAAATTAGGTCAAACAAGCTAGTTTAGGAAGTTTCAACATACAAAGGACTACACATGACTTTCTAAGACAAAACAAGAGATTCAAAAAAAAAATCTATGCTCAATGAATGTTGTCCAATCACGGACACATGTGAATGAATGGAGAAGACTCAATCAAATACAAAAATGCACAAGCAAGGAACCTAAAGCACAAACCGAATTGATTCAAGGAATTAGGAACAAGCAAAAATCATGAATCCTGCAGCCTCACAAGGTGTTTCACTCCTCTTTTAGAAGCAACCTTGACTTTGGTCACTTCTAGGTGTTTTCAAGAGCCTTGCCACCAAGAGAGAACAAGCTCCCTAAGCAACCACCAAAGCCTTCAAGTTGACTTCCTTTGACTTGGCCTCCTACACCTTTTAAGAAGCACTCAACCACCTTCAAGACTGGAATATTAGTCCTAAAACTGAAAAGGAACAATTTAGAATGGCTACACCAAATGGTAGAGTAAAAATGTGACAAACTAGAAGGAGTTCCACAAAAATGACAAGCAATAAATTAAGGCAAATTTAGAAAGTTAGCACACAAAAGATACCCTATCAAAGGCACTAGAATGGATTACAAAACAAAAGCTAAGATTAGAAACAAAATTAAGACACAAATGATGTGGCTGGACAAGAAAATTATATGCAAAAATATTGCTAAAACCGAGAGCAACACATAACAAATTTTCACTCCTTTTTGGCTTTTTCTTTTGCTTTTTCTTTCTTTTCTTTTTGGCAAACTATTTTTCACTTCTTTTTCTTTTAATTTTTAGGAGTTTAAATGCCTTTTGATCACTTATAAGTCTCGGTTCTAGGTTAGAAAAACTGCAGCAAAAATTTCACACAAAACAAGAGGTGTTTACATGCATCTTTCAACTAGTGCTTCACAATTTTGAAGTATTTTTAGGTCAAATTTTTAAGCACTCATTCTTTTGTTTTTCTCATGAATTTAGATCACTTACACCTCTGTTTTGTCTCTGTTTTTATGTTTCAAAATTTGTATTAGGTTTCAGCCACAACAAGACTCAAGGAAAAACCTAATAGGAAAAGTGTTTATGAATTTTTTTTTGACAAAACTTTTAACAAGACATAATAGAAACCTAACTCTAGGAAATGTGCTAGAACTAATAGAAAATTAAGAACTCAAACATGTAAAGAAAAAGCACATATTGTAAGGTACAGATTCAATAAGCAAAGACACAAAAATTTTTGGACATCACAACACAAAACAAAAATTAGGTCAAACAAGCTAGTTTAGGAAGTTTCAACATACAAAGGACTACACATGACTTTCTAAGACAAAACAAGAGATTCGAACTAATAGAAAATTAAGAACTCAAACATGTAAAGAAAAAGCACATATTGTAAGGTACAGATTCAATAAGCAAAGACACAAAAATTTTTGGACATCACAACACAAAAATTTCAACTTTCATAGCATCTGACAAATAAACACATAATTTCGAATTCCAAATTTAATTAACATACCTAAGGAATGTAACGCCTGGGCTTAGAGGATTTGGAAGGAGGAGGAGGCGAAAGGATGAAGTTGGGAATGAGTTCAACCGGAGTCAGGGGTTTGTTCTTGAAGGCCAAGATTCGAGTTCTGTTCATGTTGAAAGCCTCAGCCAGTTGCTTCAAGCAGCGTTCTCGCGACGGTGACGTCACCTCGGGGTTTTCTTTCTCCTTTCCCCTCTTGTTACCCTTCGTCAGCATGTAGTGAGCGTAATCGAAGTCCATCGCAGACCTATTAGGGATGAACCTGTCCTCGAACGGTGATGTCGGCGGTGGCGGTGTCAGGGGCGAGGCCGGAGGAAAGCATGAGGTTTAGGGTTTGGTGGATGGGGGAGAGGGATTGGGAGTGGGATTGGTGGGAGAGGAGGATGTGGAAGGTGGAGCGGTCAGGGGAGAAGGAGGGGAGGGTTTGGGTGATGTGGCGGAGGAAGGCGAGGGAGTCGGAGGGGGAGGTGGCGATGGAATCGAAGAGGAAGAGGGATTGGGGATTTGAAGAGAGGGAGAGGGGGTTGCTGATGAGCCAAACAAAAAAATTAAGGTCTCATTTCTACATCGGTTTTGCTTAAAACCGATGTAGAACAACTCCTGGATTTCATTTTTACATCGATTATAAGAAAAACCGATGTAAATATGTTTCTATTTTCTATTTATTTACAAGTTTGCCACCGCATTTTGTGATTTACATCGGTTCTACTATAACCGATGTAAATATGGCGATGTTAAATAGTGTTTTTGTAGTAGTGAATGAGAAACTAGTGCACTAGTCTTTAGGTTTTGAGTTTGGATTCCTTTTGAACTCTTTTCTTTTGATCTTTAGGTCTTTAGGCTCTGTTTTAAACTCTATTTTCCAGCCTCTTAACTCACTTTTTTTTTTTAAATTTGAATCCACAAAATTAGTGCACTAGAAGTAGGATTACACTTGAAAATTTGAGTCAAAATTATTAAAGTTGCTTCTAAGTTGTATGAATGAATTGATTTTTTATGTTGAACTGTGTGGTTGTGTTGTGATGATGATTGGATGAATGTGTAGTATAGTATTACCTCAAGGAATTAGGAACAAGCAAAAATCATGAATCAATTACTTCACATGTGAATTAAGGATCCATCAAAATATTTATTAAACCTAGATCCATACAACAAACACAAAGAGACATATAAAAGGAGGAAGATACAACACGGATTCAAGTAGAACAAGTTAGAGACACAAAACCTCAAGTGCACTAGGCTCTAGATACCAAAAATGATGGAGCTACTTGCAGAAGAATGTTGATTCTTCAAGTCTCCATGCAAGGACCGAAACGCTCATTGAGGTTGACTCCTTGAGACCTCTGAAATCTCCTTTGAAGAACCTTCAATCTGCAGCCTCACAAGGTGTTTCACTCCTCTTTTAGAAGCAACCTTGACTTTGGTCACTTCTAGGTGTTTTCAAGAGCCTTGCCACCAAGAGAGAACAAGCTCCCTAAGCAACCACCAAAGCCTTCAAGTTGACTTCCTTTGACTTGGCCTCCTACACCTTTTAAGAAGCACTCAACCACCTTCAAGACTGGAATATTAGTCCTAAAACTGAAAAGGAACAATTTAGAATGGCTACACCAAATGGTAGAGTAAAAATGTGACAAACTAGAAGGAGTTCCACAAAAATGACAAGCAATAAATTAAGGCAAATTTAGAAAGTTAGCACACAAAAGATACCCTATCAAAGGCACTAGAATGGATTACAAAACAAAAGCTAAGATTAGAAACAAAATTAAGACACAAATGATGTGGCTGGACAAGAAAATTATATGCAAAAATATTGCTAAAACCGAGAGCAACACATAACAAATTTTCACTCCTTTTTGGCTTTTTCTTTTGCTTTTTCTTTCTTTTCTTTTTGGCAAACTATTTTTCACTTCTTTTTCTTTTAATTTTTAGGAGTTTAAATGCCTTTTGATCACTTATAAGTCTCGGTTCTAGGTTAGAAAAACTGCAGCAAAAATTTCACACAAAACAAGAGGTGTTTACATGCATCTTTCAACTAGTGCTTCACAATTTTGAAGTATTTTTAGGTCAAATTTTTAAGCACTCATTCTTTTGTTTTTCTCATGAATTTAGATCACTTACACCTCTGTTTTGTCTCTGTTTTTATGTTTCAAAATTTGTATTAGGTTTCAGCCACAACAAGACTCAAGGAAAAACCTAATAGGAAAAGTGTTTATGAATTTTTTTTTGACAAAACTTTTAACAAGACATAATAGAAACCTAACTCTAGGAAATGTGCTAGAACTAATAGAAAATTAAGAACTCAAACATGTAAAGAAAAAGCACATATTGTAAGGTACAGATTCAATAAGCAAAGACACAAAAATTTTTGGACATCACAACACAAAACAAAAATTAGGTCAAACAAGCTAGTTTAGGAAGTTTCAACATACAAAGGACTACACATGACTTTCTAAGACAAAACAAGAGATTCAAAAAAAAAATCTATGCTCAATGAATGTTGTCCAATCACGGACACATGTGAATGAATGGAGAAGACTCAATCAAATACAAAAATGCACAAGCAAGGAACCTAAAGCACAAACCGAATTGATTCAAGGAATTAGGAACAAGCAAAGATCTTGAATCAATTACTTCACATGTGAATTAAGGATCCATCAAAATATTTATTAAACCTAGATCCATACAACAAACACAAAGAGACATATAAAAGGAGGAAGATACAACACGGATTCAAGTAGAACAAGTTAGAGACACAAAACCTCAAGTGCACTAGGCTCTAGATACCAAAAATGATGATCACTCTTCACATACAAGTGCCCTGTTGAAATATTCATACAATTCAAAGGCATGTTAGTTTGTGGTTGGTCAAACCATTAGACTACACTATTGCTTATCTTTAATCTACCTTCTCCAACTTCATCCATACAACAAACACAAAGAGACATATAAAAGGAGGAAGATACAACACGGATTCAAGTAGAACAAGTTAGAGACACAAAACCTCAAGTGCACTAGGCTCTAGATACCAAAAATGATGGAGCTACTTGCAGAAGAATGTTGATTCTTCAAAAAGACTTCCAAGGACCACTCTCACATGTACTACATGAATTTACCTACTTTAAAAAACTAAGGAGAGATGGAGATACACCAAAGGCACTCCAAGACACTCCTATAAAGGCCTTGTACAAAAATGAAAGAATTGAAAAATTTACAAGAAATGAAATGTAAATTTACACCAAATGAAATGCAAATTTACACCAAATGAAATGTATATTCACACTCAAATGAAATGTAAATTCAGGCTAAATGAAATGTAGTGGCTGCACTAAATTTTAGAAAATAAAATTCAGCTACTAAATTAGTGACAAACATAGAGACGGATTTAACAAGAAAATTTTTTTGAAACAAAAATTTCTGTCTCTAAACTAGTCACTAGTTTTCACAAATTTCTCAAAAAATTTTGCTCCTTCATTTCAAGTTCAGCCTTCACTCCTTGCAGCCCTCACAAGTGTGTCACTCCTCTCTTAGAAGTAACCTTAAGGTTGGTCACTCCTAGGTGTTTAGTTTCCCAAAGCACTTCCTCCAATAGAGAAGCAAGCTTCCTAGGTCACCATCAAAAGCCTTCAAAGTTGGCTTCCTTTGAACTTGGCCTTTCACACCTTCAAGAAGCACTCAACACAGCTTAAGTTGATGGAGTATTAATGCAAAAACTGAGAAATTAATGAGACAAGACTAGAAAGAGTTCCAATGAAAGACAAGAAACAATTAAGGCACCAATGAAGCAAGCACTCAAAGGAATCTCCTATCAATGGCTCTAGAGTGGAATACAAAATTGAAAGCTAAGATTACAACAACAAAAATAAGACTCAAACAATCAACATGTGGCTGGAAAGAAAATTTAATCCGAGAGCAATTTCACACAAAATTTATACTCCTTGGCTTTTTCTTGTACTCTTTCTTTATGAATCTTTTTATAACTTCTTTTACACCTTTTCTTTTCCTTTTTGTACATGAGTTTAATTACTTTTAAACGTAATAATCTCAGAATTAAAGAATTAAAATTCCTGCCAAATAATTCCACAAAACAAGAGGTATACTAGTGAGAATGCTTTTCTAGTGCTTCACAATTTTGTACAAAATTTACGTCAATTTTCAAGCACTCTTTTCTTTTGTTTTTCTAATGCTTTTAGAGCACTTATACCTCTGTTTTGCCTCTATTTTAATTTTTAAAAAAATTGATACAAGTTTCAGCCACAAAACAAAACTCAAGGAAAACCTAATAGGAAAATGTTTAACAATTTTTTTTTGACAAACTTTTTAATGTGACATAAAGGAAACCTAACTCTATGAAATTTGCTAAAACTAATAGCAAATTATGAACTCAATCATGTAAATCAAAAGCACATATAGGTAGGTTCAGATTTATGAAGCCAAAAACCGCACCAAATAGTAGACACAAAACAACATAAACAAAAAAAATGTTCAACAAGCTAGTCTAGGAGTTTATGACAAATAAAGGACTACAGATGACTTCTAGACAAAATAATTGATTCAAAAGCAAAAACACATTCTATATGATGTTGTCCAATCACGGACTCATGTTATGGAATGGAGAGACTAAAAAAAAATAAAAAACGTACAAGAACAAGAACACCTAAAAGCACAAAAACGGATTGATTCAAGATTAAAAGGAACAAGCAAAAATGAATCAATCAATTCTCATGTGACAAATAGGATCCATCAAAATATTTATTAAACCTAGATCCATACAGAAAACACAAAGAGACATGTAAAAAGAGGAAGATACAACACAGATTCAAGAACAAAAATTAGGAACACATAACCTCAAGAGCACCAAGGCTCTAGATACCAAAAATGATGGAAGAAACTTGAAGAGGATTGTTGTTATTCGTGATTCAATCCGTCCAAGACCTTTTCACTCTTGAGAAGACTCGGATTGAAGCTTGAAACACCTTGAAGAATTTTTCAATGGTGGAGAAGAACTTAGGAGGTTTAGCCACTCCAAGGAGATGAAGAAGCTTGAGGAACCTTGTTCAAAGGTTTGAAGAACCTTTGAGAGAAAACCTAGGGAGAAGAAACTCCATGGTTTTGGTGACTTTGAGAAAAGAGAATTCTAAGAAGAATTTCTGATTTCATTCATCACAAGTGAGGTAAAAGGTTAGAATTACAAATATATAGGGAGAGGTAGCTTAGGGAGCAAGCTAACCTTAACCATGGTTCACTAGGAACCATGGTAAGGTTACTTGACCGTCTAAGTGGGTTTAGAAACTTGTGGAGCAAGCTTCTCACTTAGCTTGCTTGGGAAGCAAGCTAAGGAGAAGCTTGTAGCACAAGCTTCTCAAGCCTTGAGAAGTGAAGAAGAAACTCGGCCAAGGAAGTGAACCAAGCTAGACGACCATTTGGCTTATTTTGCTCCAAACAGGATTTTGAAAAATGTTGATTTGGTTTAGTTAGGTTCATATAATGATGATGAGACCTATCTAAATCAAATCCTTGAAAAATTAGGAGCA